AAAAATTTATCCACAGAAATTATAACAAAAGAAATTTCCTATTAACTAGAAAAATATCAAGTATTATATTGCACATGGAACAAAGGTTAAGGCAGCTGGATCCCAAATGGCCAGCTGCACAATTGGAGTCCTGGACCCAACAGCTTGCAGGTATGTGCACACACGCACCCACCCAAAGTCCCAAATAATGAAGAAAGGATTGAGGCATGCCCATCCCCTTTGGGAGGTGATTTCTCATTTTTCCTTTTTGTCTCTCGCTGTCTCTAGTGAGTGCACTCACCCTATAGCAATACTAGAAACAAACAAACAAAAAAAAGTGGCTAGAAAATTTTTCACAAAAGAGTAGTGACTGGGGAAAATGGGGTTAGTAAGTTTCATCTTTTGCAGTATTGCTGCAGACTCTTGTCACATTTCTGAGGCCGCAGGTCTCTCTGTTGGACTCAGGAAATTCCAGGTAGGTGCTGGCCTGAAAGCAGGAGCTCACATCCTCTCTCATCCCTCTGCTCTCCAGGTGGACACATAGAATCATCTGTAGTTGAAAGGTGCTTCTGGTATTGAGTTGTTGGAAAAGTCATGACATACTTTTTCTATGCTACTCTCTGTGTCATGACTTTTCTAATGACCCGATATTTTAACCAGATCTATTTCACAAGACACACTGTTTTATTGTTTGTTTGTTTTAAAGAATTCTTTATTTATTATCACTTATCAATTCTGATGAGAGAGAGAGAGCATTACACCGGGTCTAAGACTTGAACCACAGTCGGTCACATGGGAGTCTGTCGCCTTTAACCACCACACCTCCTGCCAGCCCGAGGGCTCACCATTTTAGCCTGCAAATTATGTAGCCTACAGAAATACCTGAGACCAGGTGATTTATAAAGTATGTGGTGTCTGGAAGTTTAAATGTGTGTGGTGGCATAAGACTGCCTACAATGAGGCCACAGAAGCACAACAGCAGGTGCATAGAAAGACCTGGGGACAGCCATCTTCCTCTTATAATAACCTGCTCCAGTGAGAACCAATGACTTGTTGTGAGAGCTAGAACTCAGTCTCTCATGAGATAGCATAAATCCATTCATGAAGTTAGTGCCTCCATGATCCAATATCCACAATCCAATCACAAACCACTAGGCTTACCGCCTCCCAATGCTATCACACCGGGGACAATATTTCAAAACATAAACCTTTCAGGGAGAATCCAGCATCCAAACCATAACACCATTTATACACTTGATAGCAATGCTTCTTACTGCCATTATTTTACAGTTTCAAGGTAGAAGTAGGGAAGCTGTGTTGAAATCATCCTACTTGAATATCAAAACAGGATTTTTCCTCCCCAATAGTGACAGTCCAACTTAGTTTACAATGAACTAAGTCTGTCAAAAAGACCTAACTGAAGGTCACAGTGCCCTAAGAATGAAGCAATGACAGTTGGTGGCTAACATTTCACATGAAGAGCCAAAGTCCCTTGCAGATTTGGTGACAGGAAGGGGGTGCTCCTCACAAACATAACTCATCTCACAGAATCACAGAATCTAAGATCATCTCATTACCTCTCAGGGAGTCTTGAAAGAAAGGTGACCTGCCCAGAGTCATGTGCCTGAGAAGAGGACTGGGAATAAAACATGAGTAGTGCTAATGCCCTGTTGACTACATCCTTCTCTAGGAGACACGTGACTCATCCAAAATGGCTTAAAAGTAGAATCATTCTATGAAAACAGAAAGAGGGTTGAATATGCTTACTCAAGTCTAATATATTCTGAAAATGCTTGTAAGCCAAAAAATATCTCTGCTGTTTACCTTCCATTTTATGACCTGGTTGGCAGGGTGCACTAATTCAGAGAAACTATGTTGCAAGGTTGCTGAGCAGTAACTTTTATAGTGAAAAAGAAAAAATACTACATTGGAAAAAGACTTGCATCAGAGTTGAAAGTTTGTCTGAAACAAAGCAAACAGTTTGTAGGTTTTTTGGTTTTAGTTTAGTTTTGCTTTTTTTTGTACTTACAGATATTTTATTTTAATATTTATATAATAAAATAATCTTTTTTACAATGATCCATTTTATTTGTTTAAAGAATTATTTCATTTAACATTATTTATTTATTTATTTATTTATTTTAAATTTGATCAAAGAGGGACGGAGTTCACGCACAAGAAAGTGAGAAAGCAAGCCACCAGGTCAAGACTCAAACCCTGGTCAAGTCCAAGTTGAGTCCTGGACTCCCAGCCCTTAACCACCACACCACCTGCCAGCCCCTGTTATTTTTCAATTTCACCAGAGAGAGAGAGAGGAAAAGTGAGAAAGAAAGCAAGCCACCAGGTCCGAGACTTGAACCGTGGTCAGCCATGTGCAAGACTAACGCCCTTAACCACGATGCCGCCTGTTTGACTCCATAATAAAATAATCTGAATCACTGAGTTCTTCATTGCTGAAATACGTGCTTCTCTTTATACCGAGGTATCTTGAATCATCTGAAGTTTTGGGATCCCCTGAACTAGGTTTCTATGTTTTTTGTTCTTCTATTTTGGCTTACTGGAATCCGATGTCCTGACTAACTGTCAAGAGTAGGATCCTCCCTTTCATCTTCACTTTCTTTAATTCCCTCAATTTCTGCTTCGGGCTCAGAAATGTTCTTGCTTCTCATGGGACGCCGGCAACATGGTGTTCAGTTGCTTTGCGGAAGTTGGCCGGGTGGCCTATGTCTCCTTTGGCACTCATGCCAGAAAGCTGGTTGCAATTGTAGATGTTATTGATCAGAACAGGGCTTTGGTTGATGGGCCTTGCTCTCAGGTGAGGAGACAGGCCATGCCTTTCAAATGCATGCAGCTCACTGACTTCATCTTCAAGTTCCCACATAGTGCACGCCAGAAGTACATGAGAAAAGCCGGCAGAAGGCAGATATCAACACAAAATGGGCAGCCACGAGATGGGCCAAGAAGATTGAAGCCAGAGAAAGGAAAGCCAAGGTGACAGATTTTGATCATTTTAAAGTCATGAAGGCAAAGAAAATGAGGAACAGAATAATCAAGAATGAAGTTAAGCTTCAAAAGGCAGTTCTGAAAGCTTCTCCCTAAAAAGCACCTGCTGCTAAGGGTGCAGGTGCTTCTGCTGCTGCCACGTGCCCGCGGAGAAGATAACAACCGCAGGCAAGAAGGCCCCAGCCCAGAAGCCTCCTGCTCAGAAAGCCGCAGGCCAGAAGGCCGCACCACCTTCAAAAGCACAAAAGGATCAGAAAGCTGCAGCCCCGAAAGCACCTGTACCAAAAGCATCTGGCAAGAAAGGATAAGAGGCTGTGATCGAAACAATAAACGTTCTTTTTGACATAACAAAAAAGAAAAAAGAAGGAAATTTTCTTTCTTTTTTGGAGGATTACTAGAGCATAAGTATTCACTTTTCCCACATTCATACCACTTAGATTTATGAAAGTAGTTTCACCTTCTGATGAACTCAGCTACTCTTCCATTGCAACAGCAGTGCTTGTTTCAACCATTCTACCAAGTAACCGTTGCTTATTGCCTTGTGCAGTTTCGTGCACAGTCTGTCCAAATATAAACACAGTCACTTTACTCTCCCTGGTATCTTTATCTTTCATTATAATAACCTTTACTGCTTTGCCATGCTTGGAAAATATCCAGTATAAATCATTGTTTCTCAGGGAAAAGGGCAAGTTGGATACACACACAGTACTCTTCCTTTTTAAGAGAGATTTTTGCTATAGGGCACATATGCTAGCGTGAGAGACAGAGACAAAGAGACAGAAAGTGAGAAATCACCTTGCAGAGAGAGGATGACTATGCCGCAATCCCTTCTCCTCCATTTTCCCCTCTAGATTTTGGGCACACTTGTGAACATGCCTGGCCTAAGTTTTAAACTGCTGAGTCCAGGACTCGAAGCACCATTGACTATGTGGGAGTCCAGCAATGTAACCATTATGCCACCTGCTGGTACATAGTACTTTTACTAGGTGCCAACCCACCTATCAGGTAGAGGGGACCCAGGAGGTTAAATGAGCAAACAGAGTCCTCAGCTTGTTGCAGAAAACCAGAGGGCCAAGGAACAAAAAGGCAGCACTCTGGAGAGGTAAGGGTAACTCTTTAATATGCCGGCATGCGTGGAGGGGTTAACGCTGGACCCACTTGGGGGTTGAGCACAGTCTTCTATTGGGAAGTTTGGGGAGGGGTGGTTTCCAGCGGGCTAAGGGGTAGTCTACCAGGAAAAAGCAGCCCATCTGGAAGATGCAGCCCATGGGGAAGATGTAGCCCAGAGTTTTTCTCAGGAAGAAAAGGTCAGATAAGCAGGGTGTTCAGCCTCTCAAGGTCTCAGATTGTTTTATCAATTCAGAGGGGGAGAGGCAGAGGCAGAGAATTCACAGAGATCTGGGATGACAATGGTCGGCCTTGGGCTATTGTGATTTCTGGGCCCATCCACATCATCCCCCCACCCCCAGCCTCCTCAATTATAATTTAGGAGGATCAATTAACAGAGGGACAAGAGCCAGGGCCAAAGAGAGGATCACCGGTAGTACTATGAGGAGGGCTAGGAGCAAGAGGATCTAGGGGTAAGGTAGGGATGACATCTGTCATCTTCCTTAGAGTGACTGTAGCAGCGCTGTAGTCTCCTCATCAGATCTCGGCTCTCTGGAAAGTCACCTTGGTTGGCTGCTCAGGGTGGCTCTTCGCTGTCCTGATTTCGGGGTCCTCAGCTCTGTGGCTCACTTTACTCGTATGGTGAATCCATGGGGCTAGCCATGTAACCTTAACCACAGTTGGGATAAAAAGTACAACATATGAGCCCACCCAGGTGGGCTGCAATGATTTTTTTTTTAATTTTTAACCCAAATAAGATCCCCAGGCTCATTTTTTTTTTTTTTTTTTGAGAAAAGAAAGCTTACTCTTGCCTTTATTATTATAAGGGACAGTTACAAGACTAAGTTAGTAAGGTGATACCAATCAAATAATAATTTTCTGATTTCTATCTATGATTTATTTAGTTTTTACATCAGACAGGTACAGTGCCAATATTGTAACAAGGTTTGAGGGAGGCACATCTCACATAATGGTGTGAAAACCTACTCATGCTTACGAACCTCAAAGGATCAGTACATATATCTTATATATATATATATTTGACTCCATGTGAGACTTTTTTTCACAAAATCCTTCCAATACCAATACATCTTAAAACTATTGCTCTAATACATAAACTCGTGTTGCCTTCTGTTCTTTTGATTTTTCTGTTCCTTTGATATTTTTTATATTTTTCTGTTCCTTTGACTTTTTTTTTACTGAGATGTAATTCACAGACCACAAAGCACACCATTTGGAGCATTCAGTTCAGTCATGTGTAGCACCTTCGCAAGGTTGCACAGTCATCACTGATTCCAGCCTGTTTGACTTATTTCAAAAATTTGAAAAACCACAGTGTTCATTTCATTCAATAAATATCCTTTGATCCTTATGCAGTATTACTGCAGCAAGTGAGAAGTCTGTGCTAAGAATGACGACAGCAAGTTCTCAACCAAATAACCAGCTTTCAGACGGTTTCAATAACTGCAGCGATTTCTTTGAACTGTCTGTAGAAATTCTGAAACTGTGGAATTGTCATTTCAAAGCACTTGTTCTTTACTTGCCCTGAATGATCCGCCACTTTTAGCATCACCGCCACATACGGATATTTAAGGGATCTGCAACTGTCGGAGCTCACAGCCATCCCCAGTTTCCACTGAAAATCTATGAGCTGCTTGGTGACCTGGGATTTGACATCCAGCGGGGGCTCCCCCGACCCCTCCATGGCGAGTGCCGCAGTTGGTCCTGCAGAGCCCAGTGCCCCCCCCCCTGCCCCGGCTCATTTTTATGTACCCAGTTACCAAGGGTCAAAATTGCTGGTGGACGTCAGCAGTTCATGTCTGGGTGACTAAGGGGGGGGGGGGAGTCCTGCCAAACAGAATCTCATAAGGGGAGTAACCACGTTTTTGAGGTGTACTTCGAACCCAGAGTAGGGCCATTGTGAGAACATACACCCAGGGACATCCTATGTCTTGACAGAGCTTAGGCAGGGTGGACTTGAGGGTGAGATTCACTCATTCAACTCTCCCAGAGTTCTGAGGTTGGCAGGCACTATGCAGTTTCCACTTTATGTGCAAGGCCTTTGCTATTTCTTATATGACTTATGCCACGAAGGCAGGGCCATTGTCTGACCCGTTCATAAGGGAGGAGTCCAATCCGAAGTACAACTTTCTTTAAAAGGGCTCGATTGACTTTCCTGGCTTTTCGAGTTCATGTAGCGAAGGCTTTCTTCTATCATGAGAAAGTGTAGACCGGTACTAGTACGTACTTACAGCCCCGGCATGGCCATACTTCTGAGAAATCTGTCTTCAATAACTCCAGAGGAGTCATCCTGGTAGTTTGTATTCCAGGTGGCCAAACCGGCCCCTACGGAGGGTTATCTCTGGCATGGGTCTCGCATCTCATGCTCAGAGTTGCACACCATAATGGTAGGCGACTCAAAAAGTAGTATCAGCCTAGCATGTTCTCTAGGTTAGTTTTCCTCCTGTGAGTCAGCTCGTGGTGCTGTTTTAACCAACGAATATCCTAGGGGCTGGGGTGTGTATATTCTATCTGGCAGTCTCCATCATCCATCTTCCAGGGTTGTTCCCTCTGGTTTTGCCCACTGATGTTCATCGGAAGTGTGTGGGGTGCTTTTGGGAGGCTTGTGAGTGGCAACATGTTAGCCACAGCAGTTGGGGCTTGATTGGCAACAGCCTTGGCCATCTGGTCCGCCAGCTGATTTCCCAAGACAATGGGGTCTTCCCCCTCTGATGTCCCCTTCAATAGATGATAACCACCTCTTTTGACTTCCAGACAGCCTCTTATAACTGGCCGGTTTTTTCCTTGTTTTTGATGGTTTTGCCTTCTGCCAAGAGGAGTCCTCTCTCTCAGTATAGTGCCCCATGAACATGCAGGATAGCAAATGCATAGCTTAAGTCTTTGCAGATGTTTGCCTTCTGATTGGTTGCCAGTCTTATGGCTCAGATTAATGCCCAGAGTTCAGCCTCCTGGCCCTCCTGAGGGCCATCCTTGGGGGAGTGCCATAGTCTCAATCACTGTGTACTGGGAGGTAACTGCATAGCCAGCATATCATGTCTGATCCTTTATGTAACTGCTACCGTCAGTGAAAAGAGTAAGATTGGGGGCCTTCAGTGGTGTGTCTACAAGGTCAGGACACCTAGAAAAATCCTCATCAAGGGCACCTTCACAACTGTGGTCAGGATGTCCTAGTGTGACCGGAAGAAAACTAGCAGGATTGAGAGTCTGTAAATCCTGGAGTCTTATTCAGAGATTTCCAATCATTAGGTCCTGGTAGTGGGCCATCTAGAGCTAGCAAGACATTTATATCCCCTGTGTTCATCAGTGTAGCCACCGAATGGGGGACCCGAGCATTGATAACTTGGCCTAAGGTTAACTTGTCTGCCTCTTTAATCAATTCAACAGTGGCAGGGAGAGCTCCTAGGCAAGGGGGCCATCTAGATGTCACTGGATCTAGTCTTTTAGACAGGTAGGCAATAGGCCTCCCCGATGGCCCAGTGGACTAAGTCAGGATTCCTAGTACTGTCTGGCTGTTGTCACATATAAGTAGGTTGAATTCCCAAGTGACATCTGGGATTCCTAAAGCCGAGGCTTTCCCAAGGCTTGACTTAAGATCCTGGCAAGACTGTTCTTGGTAGGGTCCCTATTCAAAGAGAGCTTCCTCTGGGCCTTTAAATAACTCATATAGTGGCTTAGCCTTTTTAGCAAACCTTGGGATCCAGATTCTGCAGAATCCTGCATCTCCTAGGAGCTCACGGAGTGGCTTTCGGGTTGGGGGCTGGGGCAGCCCACATACTACTGGCTTTCGTTTGCATCCAAGGACCCGATGTGCTTTAGTCAGTATGAATCCCAAAAATCGCACCTTGGTGCAGCAGATTTGGGCCTTTTTCCTTGAGACTTTGTATCCAGCCCGGGACAGGAGCTGGAGTCGTGCCTGAGTTCCCTCCCTTCCTGCAATTGTCTCCTGTCACTACAGCGAGCAGAAGGTCATCAACGTATTGGAGTAGAGTAAACAGTTTCCTGACTGGAAATCCTCTAAATCAGCAGCAAGTGCTTCTCCAGAGTTGGAGAATTTTTGAAGCCCTGGGGGACTCTGGACCACATGTACTGTGTTTTCTTTTGGGCGTCTAGATCTTCCCATTTAAAGGCAAATAATGGTTGGCTGACAGCTGCCAGTCACAGGCAATAGAAGGTGTCCTTGAGATCCAAACAACTGGACCATTCAGAGTATGCTGGGAGGGCACCGAGCAAAGTGTATGGGTTGGGAACGATGGGATGTAAGGTCACTGTGGTGGCATTCACAGCCCGTAAGTCCTGAACTGGCCAATAATTGCCAGAGGCTCCCTTTTTCACAGGGAGAAAGTGAGTGTTCCAGAGAGACTGGCACTCGACCAGGATCCCAGCTTCTCTGAGCCAGTCAGTGTGTTTCTTTATACCCAGTCTAGCAACCCGGCTTATAGGGTACTGGTGGAGGCACACAGGCCATCCCTGAGGTGTCAGTTCAATCACTACAGGTGGCTTGTTGATTGCCACTCCTGACGGGTTTCCCTCAGACCCAGACTATAGGGAAATCTTTAGCAAGTGAGGACAGTGCTTCATCATTTCCACTGGGTGTCTCAGGAGCGAACATTCAACATTCTTCCTCCCAGGGCATTGCCACATCCAGGATTTTGGCAGGGGCGAGCCAGATGAGTCAAGGCTGATTTGTGCCTTGACCTTAGCAAGTTTCTCCCCAGTAATGGAGTTGAACAGTGTGGCAGGTACAAGAACTCATAAGTAACCAAGTATCCTCCTTACTGACAGCTTCTAGCCTGTAAGAAGGGCCGAGTTTGGGTGTTTCCGGTAGCTCCCATGATAGTAGCTTTCCGGCCTGGTGGAGGAGACAGGGGCTGAGTTACTACAGAATGTTTAGAGCCTGTGACTACCATAAATGTCATTGGTTGACCCCCTACTCTGGCATTGACCAGGGGCTCCTGGGGGGCCGGGATCATTTAGCACAGTCGGTCCTATTCCAATCCCATCATGGCCTGGTATCTGCTGAGGAGGTAATTTGGGGGCTCTGGGTGAAAAGTCTCGGAAGTTCCCCGGGGTCTCTGTGTTGTTCTTCCTTGGTTTGCCTTTTTCTTGGGGCATTCGTTCTTCCAGTGCCCATCCTCCTTGCAGTAAATGCATTGGGTTGGTCTAAGCAGCTGGCCTTTGAACCACCTCTTGGACTGGGTGGGACATCCGGTTGCCTGAGAATGGCGGCCAGTGGAGCTGCTTTCTGCTTCATCCGTTCGTCTGTTTCCTTTTTATCCTCTTGATCTCGGTTTACGAACACTCGATTAGCCATCTCTAGGAGTTGAGTGGCATTCATTCCAGCAAAACCCTCCTGTTTTTGGAGTTTCTTTTGAATATTGGGGGCTGATTGGTCTATGACTGTAGCATTAATCATCTGCTGACTTTCAGAACTCTCGGGATCAAATGGAGTACAGATCAGGTACACTTCACAGAGCCTCTAATAAAATTGCCCCAGTGCCTCATCTTTTTTATTTATTTATTTTTTATTATTTCTGTAGTTTTTGCCATATTTGTGGGTTTCTTTGTACCAGCTGTCACTCCTTGTCAGAGTGCCTCCCAGTATCTGCTGAGATGGGCCCGGCCATCCTTAGTGTGGAAATCCCAGTCAGGCTTTTCACTTGGAATAGCAGTTCTAGCCCAAACCTTGGCGTCTACCATATCATTAGGGGCATGCTCTTGTAGCCACGTCTTTGGTGCCACAAGGACTCTGTGTTGTTCCTCTGTGTTAAGCAAGGTGAGGAGCAGCTGCCAGCAGTCGCCCCAAGTGGGCTGATGGGTTTGGAGTATAGACTCTCTGAGCTCTATCATTGCCTGAGGCTGTTCTGAGTAAGGGGGAGTGTGGTGTTTCAATGAAGCAAATCAGTGGTGGTAAAGGGTTGATAATACAATGTTGCTCTGCTCTCCATAATAGCCCCATCTGTGCCTATCAGAGGAGGCCCTCCGGTTTCTGAGGGCATCTGAAGACTGAGGTTTCCTCTGGCTGCAGCAGCTCATCAGGTGACCAGGGATGAGGTGGAGCTGCTAATGGCTCCTCTTCAGGAGTGCCTTGCAAAATAGCGGCCCCAGCTGGGGATTTCTTTTGGCCAGAGGCCAGTGGGTGTGGCATGACATGGGAGGCCAGAATATTACATTGATTCTTTACTCTAATGCAAATCCGTGCCCAGGACTGAATGATCTTGGTGACTTGTAGCCAGGAGTCAGAATAAGGGAACGGCCAGGGTAATCTCACTGTACACTGCCCGTACTGTGGGTAAGTATAGAGAGCCCTTAGTAGCCATCCCACTTTCAAAGAGGGCCATTGAATTTTACAGAGAGCTCACAGCCTCTCCGGTTTCAATTTAACTCCATAATCACCAGAAAAACCCTTTAGAAAGTTGGTCAGCATACAATCCAGCACAGTGGAATTAGATTTGGACTAAGGCTTTCACATTATATCCTGATTGTCTTCAATTTTTTAGCTGTTAGATGCCTGTACATTTCAAAAGGCATGGGAAATCACTGGTTAGAAAAAGGTTTTGATTAACAGACTCTGAAGGGACAGGGGGCTCCTGGGAGCAGGTCTTAACCCAGAGGTTTGGAAGCCATGAATTCTCCCAGAAAGGGGGTGGGGGGGGGCACTGTTTAAAGGGCCAGTAGGTTGTTTTTTCTCCTAGGGTGTTTTGGCTAAGGGCTGGAATCAGAAGGATCACAGCAGTTTTTCTCTGAGGTCCATTTTCTGGTACTTCCTACAGTTGATATTCCAGTGCTATAAGTTGATGCCTGCTTCTTTTTTCCTAGGTAGAGTGGACAGGTTTCGCTCTGTAGTGGAAGTCTTTATAGGAGAGTCAGGACCGGGACAGGGTTTTTTCATCACAGTTGAGAGAAACTCATGTCCCAGTTGCCAGAGACAGAACTTGTAACCTGACACCTACTCTGCCTGCCCACCTCTACAGGGAAAACCCTGCCAACCGTCCCTGTGCCCCCCTTCCCTTTTAACGGTGTCGCAACACAAAGGATGGGTGTCCTCCCCAAAGGAAGACCATTCAGAGGTCTGCCTGGCCGTTTCCCTCACAGGCTTTGTGTGTTTCCTTGACAATAGGTGGTTGGAAATAGAACCTCCACCAGATTGCATACGTCGAGAGGGAAGGGGGCCCTCAGTGTGTAATACCGCCACTGAGTCTTTATGGAAACATCACAGAAACACAGTAACAGACACACTCATGCCCTGTCGAGCAATGCACTGTGGGACCACAAACACATTCACTGTCACACTCACAGTCACTTGGAGGTTACACATTCCCTCCCTACACCAACCAAATTACCAGAGATAGCCAGAGGCCTACAATTACCAGATGGGCCTTAGCCCTGACTGTTGGTCTTGCCACCAAAGGAGAGTAAATGAATCTCTTCCACTCTTAAATGAGTGGGCTGACTGATTTCAAATGAGTCCTGACTGCTAGTCTTGTGACCGAAGGAGAGTGTACCGTTCTCCTCTTCCACTCAAACTGAGCGGGCTGACTGATAGGACTCTACAGATTCCCTGGGGGCTTACCAGATTACCAGAGCTGCCCACAGAAGATGCATCCAGGTCCAGAGTAAGAGGTGTTCCTTATCTCAAACTAGAGTCCAATGATCCAGAAATACTGTCCTCTGGGTGGGCATCGGGGCTGAGGGATGGCGTCAGACAAGTCAGGGGCGCGCCTGTCCTTCCATACCGCAGTGCCTGTCCCAGTGGGAGGAAGCACCCTGGAATCGGTGGCTCAAAAGGCCAGTCTGATTTTCGCTTCCCAGCCAACACACCAAATGTTGCGGAAAACCAGACGGCAGGAAAACAAAAAGGCAGCACTCCGGAGAGATAGGGGTAACCAATACACAGGTGCGTACGGAGGAGTTAACACTCAGAATCTCTGGCCCCACCAGCATATTAAAGTTACCTCATCTCTCTGGATTGCTGCCTTTTTGTTCCTTGGCCCTCTGGTTTTCCACAACAAGCTCAGCTAGGGGTCTTCCTTGCCCCTTGAAGAGGCCTGGGCATCTCGGATCACAGAAAGTCAGGTGTCCAGACGAGATTGTATAAACAAGCAGTGCCTCCTCCCAGCTCTCCTTAGACATGACCCAGAAGGTGGGCACAGAGCCAGGTGCCCTTGCTAGGTCATTGCAACAGTTTGTGTTTTATTCTTTCATCATGTGTATATGTGTGTATATGTACAGAAATTCTCAGAGATGTAACTATGTTTCAAAAAGAGGCTGTAGTTCAGCCTCTTCCTCTTCAGCCCTTCCCCTACCCTTCCAAGTTGTAGCCCTTTGAGATGAAGCAGCCACAGCTTTGTGATGCAGGCCAGGCCCTGGTCCCAAGGGAAACTCCCAGGGCTCAAGGCTCAGTTGCCTGAGAGCAGCAGTGCAATTCAGATGGAGATTTTTTCTTTCCTCTGAAAAGCCTTACTGCCTCATGGCTGAGCACCAGCACCACCCCATGGGTGACAGATGTCACCCTAGGCATCCTGTGTGGGCTGGGGCTCTTCCTCTTGTTATGTGCCTTCTTCCCTAGCAATCCACCGGGACCACTTCCCCAAAGAAAGACGAATGTCGGGGAGGTAAGAAACCCTCAGCCCAGACCCAACAGATAATGACTTTTTCTAATACTTTTTCCCCTTTTTCCAAACCAACAAGAGAAAGTCCAGAAATGAGAAATCTTGGGGTGGGGGAGGACAGAGCATGCTCCTCCTAGAGGCACTGGGCAGAGCAAAGAGCAGAATAAGCACTACGATGTCTACTTGAAGCTCTCAGAACACCTGTGGGTGTACTAGAACTGCCGGTGCAAGATCAGACACCAGGACTCGGCAACTTAGATTGGGGGGTCGCTTTGGGGAACAGGCCCTGAGCACTGGTTCATCAGTCGCTTTTCTGTGGCACATGTCTGGGGCCAATCTTCTCCCCTATATCCGGCAGCTGTAGGACTATGCTGGGCCAAAGAGCCTCTAGTCAGAGGCTGAAGTCCACCAGGGAAACAGACCCAGACCTGAGCTCAGATGTGTCTCGAGATCTGTCTGTGTTTCCTGAGCACAGGAAAAGGGACTGAGGACATCCCTGGGAGTACCCCCTGGAAAATCCCTCTCAGAGTTGTGGGGTTTTGGGGGGGGGGGTTTGGTTATTTTTCAAAATTATTTCATTTTACTTATTTATTTACTTTCATGTGATCAGGGAGGGACAGACTGGGGGGGTTGTAAGAAAGCAAGCCACCTGGTCCAGGACTGGAACTAAGGTCAGTCATGATGGAGTCCAGCGCCCTTAACCACCATGCCACCTGCTGCCCCCCCCATTTAGAGTTTTTTGTTTTAAAGAAAAGCAAAGCACTTACAATATTTCAAACAGGACAGAGGGCAGATGGTGGTAAAGCAGGGTGCTCTGTTAGGCAGTCCCACACAAGAAGGGCCCTGGTTCCAGTCTGGAGACCTCCCTGAATACAACAGACATGGGTGTGCCCATGATGAGGGCTAGACAAAGAAAGGGGCGGGGCAGAGGTGGGTCACGGTATCAAGGCCCCATTGGGTGTGAGCTCTCTCCCTCATACATAAAACAAATAAGTAAAGTTTAAAAGTACGCAGAGTTCTACTGGCTGAAAATAGAAAGTCATGTAATTAAGAATAAATGTCGGAGCCTGTCTAGGGAGAAGAGAGAGCACTGGGTCTGAGGCCTTCCTCCTTTCTTGTTTCTCAACGTCTAGTGGACATAAGGGAAAGGAAGAAGAGGAGGAAAAAAGACCACATTCTGAAAGGTAAGGGTGTGCCCGTCCACCCGAGGTCCTTAGAGCTGATTTCACCTCCTAGTTTCAAGGGACAGCGCCATGTCTCCCATTATGCCTGCTGGAAAGCCCTGAGAGGGAGGGTCCTGAGGAGGAGTCAGAATTGGCTACTTCTCAGATTCTGAGCTCAGAATGAAGCCAAGTGGGCTAGAGAATGCGCTGTCCAGGAGAAGGCTGTGCCAGAGGCTGGGGCCAACAGCACCTAGATTTGGAGGGGGACTTTCAGCTCCAACTGTGGATAAGGGTGTCACTTTGTCAGGCCACTTTCTGTCTGCAAGGCCCGGGCTTCCCTTCCCTGGGGTGGTTGTGAGGACCATGAGGGACGATGGACCTGGAGGTGCCTTGTCTAGGATAATGTGCTACCTCCCGTGCCCCTTGCAGTCATGGCCTGGGCAGGGACCATGGACACTGATGTTTGGGCACCAGAGTCTTCTCTCCTGTTCCCTGTTCAGAAAGGACCTTGCACTCAGCTCCTGTAAGGGACACCCTACCCCCATCCCTCCCTTCTCCACTATGACCCCTTCTCCTGGCTTCCAGCTTACAGACATGGGCAGAAACAAGAAGAGAAGGTTTGAGACCTGAATTCCCTTCTGAAGTGAAGAACATTCCACTTCTTGCCCTTGTCCTCCAGCCTACTTGGGCCCATTTTGTGGCCCCAGTACCTGAGGCCAACCTGGGATCCAGAGACCACGGGAAGGGAGGGGAAGTGACCACAGTCCTGGGGTGAGCTGTGCAAAGTCAGCGTGTCGAGCAGGGAAGGACTGTGGTTGCAGGTGTTCCCACCTGCCTGGCCCTCATGCCCTGTCTGCTCGCTACAGCTGGGGCTGCCTCTTGTCTCCTGCAGCTCCCTCCTTGATGAGAAACTCTCCCATCAAGATACCCCGAGTGAGGTGTACAGACCAGCACAAACTAGAACCCACCAGCCACCTGGGGAGTGTTTGCAAGATACTTCTCCAGCCCATTATTGCTCATTGGCTCCCCTGACCCCTCTTCCTGATCATCCTCTGCCTCTGGCCTCCACCATGGCAGCTGAATCTCAAAAATACCAGTCTACCTTGAAGAATGTCCCAGGGAGCTACGTCCCAGGCACCTTACCTCCAAGGAACTTCTGTCTGGTTTCTCCTTTTTTTTTTTCTTGGAGAGGTTTTTGCTATAGGGCACGTGCGCTCGCCAGACAGACAGAGAGAGACAGAGACAGAAAGCGAGAAATCACCCCCCGGGGAGGGGATGGCCATGCCGCAATCCCTGCTCCTCCATTCTCCTCTCAGGATCTTGGGCATGCACGCCCATGCACCCGGCGCGAGTTTAAGCCACCAGATCTTGGTCGCGAATCGCAGTCAACTACATGGAAGTCCAGCTACATAGCCATTATGCAAACTGCTGGTCCCTGGTTTCTCCCTTTGCGACTCTCTGGGCCCTTACCTGGCTGAGCTGTCTCATTTCCATCCTCTCCTTGTGGTGGGCAACAATCAAGGCCCTGTTTCTCTGCACCTGGTCACACAGGAAATCCCAGCAGAAACACCTTTCCCCTCAGCCACCAGACGCTCCATTCTGTGGAGACCCTATGCACAAGGTGGCTGAGGCTGGTGGCCTTTCCTTTGTCAACCCAAATTTCAGAAACTGCTGGAGATACTGATCGCCAAGAGGGCAGAGGAGAAACTGTGGAAGGAAAAAACAAAAGAGGGTTTGTTTCTAAAACAAATGAGCCCAGGATGTCCCCTGGATCCTCTGGGAAACCTCACTGGGAGACAAGCAGGACTTTGCAATCTCACAACCCTTTTGGATCTCAAAAGGCACAGCAGCTCTCTGGGTCTCGGGAGCTCTCTTATCTCATGGGCTTGGAGGTTACTTTACAGCAGAAATGCAGCCGGCTTTTCTGGAGCCTCCCCTCACTGCATAGTGAGTCCTTCGTGGCAACTGCCTGGGTCTCAAGTAAACCTGCCTCGTGCAGCTCTACTTAAGTTAAAATCAACAAACAATCTGACACACTTTGAGCTCAAATGGAGGGTGATATTCCTTCTCAACTTCCTCAGGCCCAGCCCTTGCCTCATGCTGCTCCTCTTCCCCATTGTGGCTCAAAACGTGCCTCCACTTGTGGCTCAGTTCAAGTCCCAGGACTCTCTCCCCAGTTCTGTCCCAACCCTACCATGCTCTTCTCACACTATGGACTGTAGAACATCTCAGCCTGCAACCCAGAAACAGGCACACTTTTTGATCGTCACTGGAGAGCAACAGCAGGAACAGTCCTTGCAGAATCCACAAAAATGGAAGTCTGTAAACACTGAACTCAGAAAACCTCAGGCATCGTTTGGCCAAGCCACTCCCAGCCTTTCCCAGGACAGCGGGGCCTCTGAGACCCACCAGTCAGTCCCTACCCTTCCTGGGGATTCCATCAGCCCTGAGGTCCAAGGGCAGCAGCAGAGACATACTCAGCAGAGACTTACCAAGTTCAGATACCCTGAGAGTCCTCCCTGGGAATTTCAGGAACAGATGCAGCCTCAGGGCAAATTCCCAGAGGAGTATCCATCTAGGACAAGGGACAGGGCTGAGCCCTCCCAGCCCTCTCTGGTCATGGGTAAAAGCAGCAAGGTTGTGAGGAAGGTGAGGGGACGGCCCTATATAAGATTCTGTGAGGTCCCAGCAGAGGTCAAGCGAGAGAAGAGCCCAGACGAGGACCCAGGGCAAAATCTGAAGAGGAGCCCAGGAGATCTACCCAGAGGTTCGAGACTCTCATCTCAGGAAGTTCTGCAGGACGCTCAGGGGGAGACAGAAAGGCCCACCACGAGGCCCTGGAAGTGTGATTCAGACAGTTTCCTATTCAGCAGCCCAGATGAGAATCATTTCCAGAAAACACTGAAAGCCCACCTGGGCAATAAGCTGGGGAAGGTCACTGAGGACAGGGTTCCCGTGAGTATACGTCAATCCTGGCTGGCAGCCAGCCATGCTGCACCCAGGCCTGACACCTGTCTGAGCCCCAGGTATGTGGCATCCCGGGAGGGCCCGGGCTCCTATGTGAACACCTCGCAGGAGCTACGCTTCCTGCCTCAGAGCACTTGGCAGAGGCTGGAGACCCGCCTGGCAAGGGGTCGAGTGAGGCCCAGGTGGGGTCCACAACTCCAGACCCTCAAGCTCAGATGTGTCCAGTTAGGGGAGCCCCAGCCCTTACATCTCTCATGGTCAACTATCCCCTTCTCAGTCAACTGTGGATCTGGGACCAGCCTGAGAACTAAGGTGGCCGCACTCCTGGAAGACGCACCTCAGAAAGCTCCAGGACAGGAGGGGCTAACAAAGTCCATCCCTACTGTGCAGACGCCTCTCTCTACTCCCTCACCTGCATTTAATAAAGTCCAAGGGACCCTGAGAAGGACTCCAGCAAGCAGAACCGGACAGTGGGCCAGGTGGTCCTCCCAGCCCCTCACAGGCAGCCTCAAGGGAAGAACTGAGCAAAGAGAGAGTGATCACAGGGACTGGGAGAAGTGGTTCAGAACCATGTCCAAGTCCAGCACCAGCCAGGAGTGGGCCACAGGAACAGAGAGGGAGTGAGGCCTCCCCAGACTCCGGCCATCCCAGAAAATCCCTGCATAGCAGTATAGGGTCCCAGTCCTTGAGGACCAAAGACAACATGGGGATAGTGAAGCCCAAGGAGAAGAGTCTGGCTTGGAAAATCACTGTGGAAACCAGTATACTGGCAAACTTAAAAATCATTAATATGAGTCCGAGCAGCTCAGGGTCTCCAGGGAGGAGTCAAAGCCGCTCTCCTGCTGCCAAGAAGGTGCAAGAGCCAGGCCTAATATCACAGTGTGTCAATGACCTTGAGATTGAGGTGGAGATCCACGGAGAGCACCAGGCTCTAAGCCCTGCCCGAGGTGTCCTCCTTCAAGACCTCACCACTGGCGTCATCTGTCAAGGCCGCACTGCTGGAACGAGGATTCAAGACTACCTCAGGGGTGGTTGCCAGGGCCTCTCGGGCCACTCCGGCTGGCTCCCAGAACTTGTCTGGTAGGAAAGCGTCAGCTGCCCAGGAGACACGTGACTTCACAAGGAGGGCAGGGAGCAGCCAAGGGCAGCAGGTGCCCAGGTCCCAAATAGTTCAGAGCCCGTGGAAGAACCAGACCAAGATGCCTGGCCCTGATACGACAGGGGGCTAAAGGAGGCCTAGATCAGGAGGGCAGGAACAGGGGCTGGGAGGACCCGCGTGCTTCCAGACCAGTGGGATGAGCCCCCCTGTCCAGGGTAGGGGAATAGGAAA